TAAAGTTTCTAAGCTGCAAAGCCTGAGTTAAAATGTAAAGGACCAAGTATTGTTGAGTTTCTAAGCTACACTCAAAGCCTGAAATTCCTGTAGCTGTTAGGACAATTCCCGGGACTGCCCATTAGATATGTGTTGAAATCCCCCCTGACAACTTAGTTGCTTAACAGCTTGGACCCAGTGCAGCTCAGCACATAGGCACCTCAGGGTCTAAACCAATCAGTTTGAATGTCCACCCCGCTTTAGGACTGACCTATCACCTGTTCCCACCAATGAATGTACAAATTATGTTTGAGAGTTGTTGTTCGATTTTCCCGCACCTCATGATGATTTGCTCTGATATATGCAAAGCCCCCGCCCTCCCCCAAAAAGTGTACTTAAGCACTGCTCAACCTCTGCTCGGGGCTCTGGGCCGCTCTCCCTTCTTGAGTGAGCATGGAGTCCCAGCGCTCTGGATCTTCAATAAACCCCCTTTTGCTGTTGCATGAGTTGGTCTCTTGGTGGTCTCTTCCTCCGTCGTTCGCAGGTCTCTTACATTAAGACAAAGAAATTCACTGCAAATCTTAGCCAGTGCTATCCAAGATTATAGCCATCAGGCTCCTCTGACTACTTAAGTTATAATTAATTCAATGTCAAATGCTGTCCCTGAATTGCGCTGGTCCCATTTCAATGGCTCAATAGCTACATGTCCAGTCATAGAATATTCCATCATTGCAGAAAGCCATATTAAACAATGCTCCTGTAGAAAACAGCCATGAAAAAAGAATCTCTAAATTCAGGGAGGGAAAACAAAGAATTGAGAAACTGAACAATGAAACCCTAATTAAACTTCTAAATATCCCAGTGCATTGGTGACTCTCAAAATCTAGGCTGCATCACAAATGTCAAGATAAACGACACCTAAGAGCGTCATCCTAGATTCTGATTCAGCAACTTTGGAGTTGAGTTGAGCCATAGAATTTGCATTTCCCACTGTCCTGGGACGAAGCCCAGGGCCCTGCAGTACTTGGCAAGCCCTCTGCCACTGAGCTAAACAAACTGACCTACACCTGCACAGCAGAAGTCCTTTTCTAACCACTTCTTCTGACAAGTTCCCAGGGGATGCAGTTGACACTGCTCCATGGACCACACTATGACAAACACTGGTTTAGTTCAATGATCTTGGTCTAGATTTTTAATCTCTCCTAGACTCTGTTACTTACTGGTAAAATGAGCTGACATCCTCACCTTGGGTCTCTTTATCATTCTATGGACAAAGTTTAAACTTTCAGTCTTCTCCCACATGGCTGTTTGGAAACCCAGTGGGAAGAGCAACACTAAAAGTCCAAGAAGCAGCTGTGATAATCAACTTTAGGAGAGACGTCAGGATGGTAACATAAAGCAGAAGAGAGGCTACTGGCCTAAAGAAAAACTCCATGCAGTACCTACAGAGCTTC